GCTAAAATTATCTAATTCAGTTAATGTTGCAGATTGCATTGTTCCTTAATCTTCGAATTATTATTTTTTGCAGACTGTTAGAGCAATTTTATAAAAGTAAGCTTGAACTTTCGATTATGTCAAATAAAATTTCTGATATATATATACTAATATGTAAAGGATCTACAAAGCGAAAGTATGTTTCGAAGTCTATTAAACAAAAAGTGAAATTGCTGCAAAAAATGGATAAAGGCATATCCTTTGTTTATCTAAATTTTAACGTTTGTTTATCTTTAACGCCGCGGTGTGCAATGAATTGGAAGTTGATCTGTCAGCACTATCCTTATCTTCAGCGCAGATGTTTTTATTTTACATGGCTTATAATTGCTTACTAAATGTAGTATTACGTCTCGATGTACTCCTTTGATATGATTTAAATCAAATTCCTCATCATTATAATTCACTTCCGATAGCGAAGAAAGTGACAGAGGTTATTAAAAACGAAAAAATTTCGATTCACAAATTAGTCGGTATTCTCGACACAGCAATTATGAGATTTGAACAGCGGAACTTTGTAACTGAACAAGAAATTATGCCTGTTTATAGAATTAAAGAGAATGTATTATCACATAAAAAATGAAGCAACTTAAACAGCTTACATTGAAAGAAATGTTTAATAAAGTAAACAAATAAATATTAAGCTTTTTTTTTTTTTTTTTGTAAATTTTGATACCCTTTAGATCATAATTGTTCTTTATTTCATAAATTCTGGTTTCATATTTTTAATTTTATAATTTCTGCATGCCATCTTACCAGATTTAAACTGATGATCTATAATCCGGAATCGCCGAAGTCCCGACGAGTCCGGATTAACGACTTTTGACTGTATACGATATCTAAACTGTAAATAGTATTTCAGAAAAAAGAGGTAGATCCAGTGTGGCGAAGAGTAGGGTGAATTACTCTACTTCTTGACAGGGAAAGGAAATTTCATTAGTGGGAGGAGTGAAACGACTTCATACGGGAATGAATGCAGCATGATGAGTTGAACAAAGCAGTAATGGAATATGTAAGTATTAGAAATCTGAAAGCATTGGGAAGAACGAGACTTACTGTCGACCAAATGTCCTGTCTGCTAACTGTCCATGTCGGCTAAATGTCCTGTCGGTTAAGTGTCTCATCAGCTAAGTGTCCGGGACCAGATCTAATGATTTTGCGGGGAAAATCGCCACTACACAAAGCCAAAATAACGAGTCAAAGAATTGCACAAAATCGGTATCCATGTACCGCCAAAAATCGCCAAGGGATACTCTAAACTATACTTTTACCAGTCAAAGGAGCACCAAATTCTACAATATAGGCAAACACAAAATACATAATCTCAATAAAATACATTTTAAACCAAACAATAAAATAACATAAAAAAGGAAAAACATGTTATACATTTAAGCACTACCAAAAGCAAATATTCACTTACCATGATTTTCGAGTTTGCTTCGTACACCCAGAGCCACCCACGTAAAATCAAAATATCAATCATACTCAAATGACTTTTTTCAAACCAGGTACTCTTTCTGATTGAATGCTTCACATAGTGACCATCTGAACCTTTCTTCCTACAAACCCATTCAAATCCATCTAAACGGTTTTTATGTCTGACTAGACGCATATCCTTCCTACATACAGGACACTTATAATGGCTACTAAATAAACCTTCATTTACTTACACACCAGTCAATTAAAGCTCTTTTCCCCTTTCACTCTGAATCGTACAGAAACTTTAAATTAATCTTACTATATTCGGCCATTTTACCGTCTAAAGAATCAAACCTACACACAACACAAAAACGCTTACAAAACATCCCATGAATCAAAATTTCCCAGAATCATGCATCCGATTATGTCACAATAGGGTTTTTATAACATTCAACTACTCAGGCTACCATAAATGAAAACAACAACTTCGCCATAATACAAGGCGTACCTGAAAGTCTACTCTACCCGGTTAGCGTTGTGTTTCAGCTGATAGATCAACTCTCAAATTCACAGGTACTTTTCCTGTTGCATGTTCCGCTTAATTGCAATAATTATATCAGCAAAGGATCATGGTCAGAGAGAGTTTGACTTTTCTGAAGATTCTCTACCATCATCTTTCTGTTAAAATTTTCTGCAATAGTCTCATCAAGGTAAAGAAATGATACTGTGTATTCTCATACTGTTTCTATCATTCATTAACAATGCTTTAATCATTTTACTTTTTTTTCATTGCTGAACTGAAAAAAGTATGGGCTGATCCTTGGAATATGGTAACTGGTAGTTTGGCGACATTTTGGAGGCGATAAAGGTTACTACCTAGGACTTTGGTAATAATGTGAGAAGCACTCAGTTCCGATTACGCATTATTTTGTTTAAGGGCAATGAGAGATCATGAGATATGTCATGTGACATTAATGGACGAATTACAGTTGTTTAATCGGAAAAGGGGGGAAGTCTGGAAATTTCATATTTAGCTATATTCTGTATTGGTGAAACGTGATTAATGGACGAATTATAGTTCTTTAATCGGAAAAGGGGTAATTTGGAAAAGCTTCATTGTGATTGTGTGAAATAGTGTTGATAATTTTCGGATTGCATGGCGCTATGTTAAAGTGAATTCTAAATTTTAATGTGTTATCTGATAATAATAATAAGTTGAGATTGTTGAAAGGAATATTACATTTAAATGGTGGTGCAGAAATATGGTGAAAATGGACATTTTGTGAAAAGGAGTGTAAGGAAGGGTAATGGTTTGCTGAAAGTAGTTTGAGTATAGGTGAATTTATATTTCTATTACTTGGTGAATAGACTTCCAGTTGCTACTGGATTTGGGATTTAGAAATTAGCAGTAGTACTGCAGCGATGTAATGAAGATTCTGAAGAAGATTAGTAAGTTAGTATTTTTAATCATTGAGGATATTATTTTTATGGATTGTCTAAATGTAAGGAGTAAATAATTAAAATGGTATTATTTGAAAATTGTTATTAGCAATATTTATTTAAGTAAGGATTGTAATCTAATTTTTATTAATTTAATGTATGTGCTTATTTATATTTTAAGTAGTGTTTTTAATTTAATTTATTTTAATTTAATGATCGTGATTTTGTGAGTTATATGTTTGTAGTATTTTGGAATATGTCCGAGTAGTATACATTGAGTATTTTCTGATTCGTGATTTTTCTATTTATGAGAAAAAAGCAGTGTACATGGATATAGTGAAGAGTGTGCGCAATGCCATTTTGTGCATTCTGGGATTTTTTTTTTAGTAAAAATAGTCAACGTGTACATGGTTTAGTGATATTTTAATTAAATGACAGATTTTGTGAATTTTATGTTTGTAGGAATTTGGTATATGTTTTAGTTGAAGTAAACGTGCTGAAATATTTAAATATTTGACACTAATATTTGAATTTCGGTATTAATTCGTGGTCATGTTTATAATACTAGTCATTTGAGTAAAGCTTTTGATATTTTATTTTTTATACTGGAACTGTTCAATTGGAAAGGGTATATACTTTTCCGCGATAAGGTAATTTATATATGTTCTTTTACCGGTTTAAAGATTCAGAAAATTGTCATCATTTCGTGAAATTTTTCTAATTTATGAGAAAAAAAGCAGTGTACATGGATATATGAAGTGTGCGCAATCCATTTTGTGCAATCTGGGATGATTTTTTTTAAGTAAAAATAGTCGACGTGTACATGGTTTAGGGATTTTAATAATGGTAGTTATTTGTGAATTTTATGTTGTAGGATTTGGTTACGTTTAGATGACGTAAACGAGCATGGAAATAATTAAATATTTTACCTAAGTATTTAATGTTGCGGTATGAATCGTGGTGACGTTGATAATAATAGATAATTAATAGTTAAAGTTTAGATATTTATTTATTTTATATGTGGAAATGTTCAATTTGGAAGGTTATTACTTTTCGCGATAAGGACTTTCATATTTCTTTTTACCGGTTAAGATTCAGAAAATTGTCCGCATTTAATTAAATTTTTCTAATTGAAAAAAGCAGGTACATGGCTATGTGAAGAGTGTGCGCAAGCCGTTTTTGCATTCTGGATGTTTTTTAAGTAAAAAAAAAGTCGACGTTGTACCTGTTTATGTATATGTGTTATTGTGAAAATGCGCAAGGAGTTTGCGATGTGCACTTTTTCCATTTGCAGTGAATTGACATGATTAAGCGTTTTGTTAGATAAAATTTCTAGATAGTACTTTGGCTATAGACTTGTTGGAAAAGTGTTCAGTAAATAAAAAGAAAAAAAACATTTTCTTTACTTCGTGAAGATAAAATTGCGGCGGAAAAAAAAAAAAAAAATAAAGGGTTGCTGTAGCAGAGTTGGTCGCCAAAAAATCGTTAAGTTACCATAATCCAAAGATCAACCAAAGTATGATTTATGTGCTTGAATAGTTTAATAGCATTGTATATTTAGGGATAAAATTCTACAGAAGCCCATCAGGGGCGAACTCAAATACTTTCTAGTTTTTTGGATAAAATTTAATTCCCGCTGGAGCCTGAATTATGATAATAACTGATATTTTATTAAACTATTTGTCATTAATTGAACTTTTACATTTAATTTAACCTTCCAGTGATTGCGAGATTAAGCAATTCTTTTTTCCTCAAATAAGCAGAGTCAGTTGTAAATTTGTAATTCAAGAGATGCTCATTTATGCCCGCTACAATGTGTAACAGGAATGTGAGCTGAGCTCATTGATGATCATTAAAAAGGTTAACATTAATTATCAATTTATTATTGTATTTTATTTTTATTCATGTTTCCTGAAAACCGGCTGTTGGACTTCAGCATTTCTAATTTTAGAAATTAAGCCCTGAATAGTGACTCTTCTGAAATTCTTAATACAGAATGAAAAGAGAAATAAATATATAAATAAAAATATTTAAAGAAACAACCCATATTCTGTTAGCTTAACAAATCAGCAAATTTTTCAAGAGTACAGATGATATATATTTACCAGTTCCTCGACTACAATTCACTGCAATGCCTTTCCTCAGTTCATCTATGCCTTTCCGATAATATTCAATTGCCCTTTCCTTTCGACCTGAAAACAAATTTATAAAATAAGAGCCAATTCTTTAAGGAATTTCTAATGTTAAAAATATACCAAAGTGAAAAGAAGTGACGTTAACGCAAAAAAAAAAAAAAAAAGGGGAGAGGGGGGGAAAAATCATCTATCAACACAACCATTAAAAAAATTTAGATCCAATTAGGTTAGAAATTAGATTGAGTATTCATCAGTTGAGACTAAATTTTGAACACTGAAAATAATTCAGGAAGTTTCCAATTCAAGAGACACCAAAACCTCATATATTGTTGCTTAAAAGAAGTAGCAAGTTAATTTTCATAATGGTAATCTTTAACAACATTGTCAGTATTACTCGACTATACAATAAAGATAAAAGAATATGACAAAAAAATAAATAAATAAATAAATTTGCCTTCATAACTGCAGTCGAGGTTAGATAAAGGAATGTTAAAAATATACCAAAGTGAAATGTGCATAATTCTTTAACGACTATGAATAACAGAAATTTTTAAAAACACCTACCATTGTTTTCTTCGTCTATTATTAGTGCCTTTGATATTAAATCGAAAGCTCGAAGATGATGATAACGCTGCACCGCAAAAGGATTTTCCATATTCATTTCTTTTTCGTTTTTCAAATTTTCTGAGCTCTTCCATTCGTCATGCCGATTTACATGTAGTTGTGACAGTTTGCTGCACAGATGTGCACAGGCCATGGAAAAATTTAAAAAGTTCGGAAAACAAAAATTGAAAAGACCCAAACAAAAAAGTAAAGGGAAAAACAATAAAATAAATTGTTCTTTTCACATAGTAATTTCTTTTCGACGTTTTCTTTTCATGTGAAGCTTTTTCTTGCACATTTAATTTGTTTCCTACACTTTCAGGAATCATACGTACGCCATTACTTTCAACTTTTTAAATATAATTGCCATAACATATTAAAGAAATATGTTTGTTTCGGTTTCTTAATGGCTAGATACGGATATGTGAAAAAGGTCTCTCAAAAGCCCTGTGAATATTTTCTTTTAAATTAATTTTCAAGTATTTGATATTTTCAGATTAAAACAAACGGCATAGTTATTTCAGAAAAATATGTGCAAGAATTGGGGAGATGGTGTATATAGGAGTCTGTATATATTCTCCACGAACGAGTTAAAAACTGGAAATCGGCTTTTATCGGAAAAGATCACCTGCTCATATTCATGCCAACCATGCTTGGATATAATGCTATATACTGAACTCTACAGGTAAGATAAAAATAAGAAAACGGAAACCCGTTCTTTGAAATTTGACCCATGATCAAAGTACACACACACACAGGTCGTATTTCATTCTCGAGTACCGGCGTTCAGTCACCTTATCCATTCGGTCAATAGGGAGTAAAGAATCATAATGCTGAGCTGTCATACAAAATGGAATCAAAGAGAGGTTATTTTTAAATTGGAGAAATTGAAGGAATGTCAGCAGCTTTATGTCCTTTGTATGCTTTAATTATACCAACTTTTAAATGAAAAATAGGAATATCACTTAAATAATGATCAGTGTGATATAAATAAAGAAGTTTTCCTTACTGACAGGAAAACGGTCCAGAGTTTCGTATCTGTTACCACTTAAGATGACGAAACAAAGAAATGCGGTGTGCCCAGAGTAAATTTAGGCAGGTGAGAAATTTCATTTTTATTAGTGGGAAAAAGAGATTTAAAAGTCTGGTGGGGCAGAAAACTTTTAAAAGAACGGAAAACATTCTGAAGACAAATAGCTCGTATTCAAGTTTCCCATGGATGAAATCCTGAAAGCTCTGTTGCATTCACCATCATTTGAATTTACTTCGAACTGTTTGTGATCAAAGTTTCTAACGTTTCACGGCCGGTGATCTCACATTTTGCAAATTTTCAATTTGAACTATTTCACTAGTTCCAACTGATGTAAAATAGGTTATATCTTTGATAAATTTTTATTGCATCTCATCTGGGCTACATTTTCAATCTTCAGTCTGTGTTATTATTGTCACGAAAAGTTTGTACAGTTTGCATTACTCTAAATTTACGACAAGTAGCACTACAATGGTTTTTAGAATTTCTTACGGCGAGCTAAATTCGTTCTGCTGAAACTATATCTTTTGTTCCTTAAAAATGGCAACAAGTGTTTCAATACTCCGCTGAATGTTGGGCGAAAGTGGGTCAGTGGTTCTAGCATCAAATGTGTGTTTGTTTGGTAATATTATAATTTACTTTATTTATCTTTTATCGTATTTTGGATATGAAGTTATGATTGAAGAACTGCACATGGCAAGAACGAAGTGAATCGTTTTGTATGTATTCTTATTTTATTTGCACTAGCAATGTTTGTTATCTGTAAAAAGAGAGCTCTTAATGTACCGGAGAAATGAATTCTTTTTAAACTGTTCATTTTTTCTTCTTATGCAAAATTTTATGCAGTTTTATATAAGTACATAATTGCATTCAACAAATGAATGTTATATTTATATTATTGCTACTATACAATCCAAATGGTAAGATTATTTGGTTATTATAGTCTTACAAGTACTGAATGTTTATGATAGTACTTTTCAGCGCGTGTACGATCACATTTGGTATAGTAAACGTATAGTATTAAATAAAAAGGAAATACATAGAAGTGATTTTTGAGGCTTTTCTGCTTATGTGGTGTGAAAAATTTATGAAAGGAATTTATATTATCGGTGTTATGTATAAATGGCTATCATGTTTATTTTTCTGTACATTTTTATGTGTATATTTGTACATTTAAATATATATAGGTTGTGATACAATACTTGAAATATAACTATATATTGATTATTTCAAGCTGTGTACGCTGATGTGCAGCAAGTTGTGTAAATTTAGTACATTGTCCAATTCATGTTATATATGAAATTTTCTCTTAAAACATTTAACATCATTTACTAATCCTAATATTTGATGCAGGAAATTAGATATTAATCTGGTATTTCCACTTTAAATACATCTGACAATACATTAATCTGGTGTATAATTCTTACCAAGTATACCTTTTGCATGTTTTTTAATAATTAAGTTAGATTCATTTTGCATATTTGTGGCTGATAATTTTCATACCATTTTATATAAATTAAGAGGTTGCAAACAATATTTGCATAATTAAAATGTATTTATTAATCCACTTCTAGAAATTTGCAGCTGAAATAAGTTTAGAAGGAAATTTTAATAATAGTTTTTTTAAAAGTCACATCAGTTGTAATGTGTCATATAATCTAAGAAAAATGCATTCAAATCATATAAGGTGTTTAATTTATGATTGGTAATTTTTCTACAACATTGTGATAGCAGGGTGAAATATGGTGTACAGCACATGGGCGATGAAATTTAGGAGCAGCAGAATGATTATCAAGTACATTATGTTTCTGTAAAAAAGGACAGCCAATTTTAATTTGCACATGGGATCATGGGGCTAGGATCAGCACTGTGTGGTAGTTATGTCTTAGATTGTGAAGGGACTTTCAGTTCTCTTCTACTATTGGGACTGGAATGTATGAATGCACATATGTATGTATACGCACACACACATACACATGCACATATGCATGCTTACATAAACACACGCATCCGTATGTACATACATTTTTTAATCTGGTCTTGATAATAGAAGAGTACTGGACTTCCTAACATTTTTAAGTCCTGTTGGTGTCAAGGTAGAGTACATGTGTACTTTCTATGATTTATATGTAAGAATTTCAGTAAATAATTTTAAAGAACAGTGCTGAAGGCAGTAGTTTGATGTTTAGTGTGAGGGTAATGAATTTTGCATGTTAATATTCCCCCTACCTTTTTTATTGCCATTTAATACAATTTTTGTTTCAGATTCAATGGGTGTTCATTATTTCTACTTTAAAAGGCTGCATAAACTAGCATAACTGTGTAATTATTCAGTTGAAACTTTACAGGTTTTTATATCTGAGAAGGCTGATTGTTTATGCAGTGACATGAAAATATTTATTCTGTGTTAAGGTTTAATTTATTTATCAGATTCATAATTAATATTTTTATATGGTCTTCAAAATCTCTGAGAAACTTGTAAATTGGAGGTTTTATCTTCATTCTCTCACTGTGTTTACAATTCTGATTTATAAACAGTCCAATGATTTCATATGAAAATCAGAAGGGAAAATATTTTATTGATTTGCATGAAATTTGTTATTTAAAGCAAAACCGGCTAAATTCGTGTATTGACATCCCTTAGAGTTTATAACGTAATGCTAGACTGATAAAATGAAGTTCTGCTAAAATGAAGTTAATGAGGCACGTCAAATTGGGATGTTTCCATTGTTAAACAGTGACTTTAATCTAGTAATTTAGGAGTGTGCAGTGCAAGTTCATGCAATTCTCAGATATTTTTAAGCGAAAACAGATTGCTGTGCATATGGGAAGGAAAACGGTAATGCATCATGCAATATATATTTTTTTTTTCAATGGCAGATTGTGAACAATTACAGATGTAACCGAGTCCAAGGCCGGTCTGTTTATTATGGAGGCACGTATTAGGTGGGCGACCATTGCCTTTTCTATGAAGGGGACGGACAGTTACAACAATGCCTTCTCCGGGAATCGAACCCAGGCCCTTCGGCATCGCAGTCAGCTTCCCTGACCACTACACTGACTGGGCGGCGCATCATGCAATATATATCTACTAGAAAGCCCAGTGGTCATACAAAATGACCGCTGTTCTAAATATATAAATTGTAATTAAAATATTTTGTGCAAAGGTGTCTGCTAATTCAAACTGAATTAATTACTCAGGGCAGGCGATGAGGACGCCCGTTTGCTTACTGCCCCACGGGGTTTTTCCTTTCTGCTTGCTTAATTGCTTAAAGTAGAGTGCACTAAAGGAAACCAATGGCAGTACATTGAAACTGGAGTTTCCTTTTAAGCTCTGGTGGGGCCATTCGTCCTTCAGGATCTTTGAACTTGTGCTTGGACTTTCAAACTTCTTGGTCAGGTACGGCTGTATCAGCTGGTCTTTTATCTCTTCTCGTCCTCAATTCTGGACCTCCTTGGGCCTCCCTATTAGTTGTTGCCACTGGAAAACGCGGTCTACGTCTTCTTGATTCTGTACATCGTTGAAAATTCAATTTTGCTGAAACCTCCTCAGCAGGCGGTACAGGTGTTTTTGTTGAATCCTCGGTTCTGGCTCGTTGGTCGATCGACATTACATTCCTCCATTTCTGTGCGCCTGGACCTTTACCTGGTTGGATCCACTTAATCGGTGATTGATCAGTCTGTTTTCTTTTTTGTGTTGGGGGACCCCCAGCTGCACTTTTGAGCTGGCAGAATTCTTTCCTCCCTTTCAGGATATTGTAATAAAGCCTGCAAAATTTGAAAATGGTTTGGGCTAATGTAAAGTTTTATCTGGTCAGTATTTGCGACCAGTTGTTGGCCATTTTCGGCCTTTAAATGAAACGTTGCGTCCCGTATTCTCTCCACTATATACGGGCCTTCAAACCTGGCCTCAAATTTCGCAACCCCGTTTTCGGGTTCAGATCATAATGAGTGTTTCAACTTGAGTACTTTCTGCCCCACTTTATATTCCATTTCTCTTCTATTTCTATTGTAATACAACTTTTGCTTTTATCTTGCTACATCAGAGTTCTTAATTGCTTCCTCGATAACTCTCTATATGCCTTTTAACTTGAATTCTTCTTGTCTTTGCTGTACAAAGAAAA